TGTGTGTGTGTGTGTGTGTGTGTGTGTGTGTGTGTGTGTGTGTGTGTGTGTGTGTGTGTGTGTGTGTGTGTGTGTGTGTGTGTGAGTGTTCCCAGCGTCGTAGTGTAGATCCTATAATAGCGTGGCGTAAAGTTATTACAGACGATGAAGCCACGTCACAGAATTGTCATCGGTTTCTTAATGCTTAGAACTCATTATTGCCATAACCGTACAGTTCGTTATTTATAGCATGTAGCGCACATCGCGCCACGCGCTGTTCGCTTTGCATCGATCCAATAATTTGTCCGTTCGTCCGTTCACTCTCTCATTCAGATAATCCATCCATCCATCTATCCGACCGTCCGCCTATCATCCCATGGAACCACAATTCCGCCCGTAAGATCCGAGTCTGTCGTCAGTTATTAGCGTTTGGTTTGGCGTTTAGTTATTCAAACCGCGATCGTCGCAGCAGTGCTGATCCCACGATCGTCGCAGCAGTGCTGATCCCGCGATCGTCGTGGCAGTGCTGATCCCGCGATCGTCGCAGCAGTGCTGATGCCGCGATCGTCGCATCAGTGCTGATCCCACGATCGTCGCAGCAGTGTTGATCCTACGATCGTCGCAGCAGTGCTGATCTCCCGATCGTCGCAGCAGTGCTGATCCCACGATCGTCGCAGCAGTGCTGATGCCGCGATCGTCGCAGCAGTGCTGATCCCGCGATCGTCGCAGCAGTGCTGATCCCGCGATCGTCGCAGCAGTGCTGATCCCACGATCGTCGTGGCAGTGCTGATCCCGCGATCGTCGTGGCAGTGCTGATCCCGCGATCGTCGCATCAGTGCTGATCCCACGATCGTCGCAGCAGTGTTGATCCTACGATCGTCGCAGCAGTGCTGAGCTCCCGATCGTCGCAGCAGTGCTGATCCCACGATCGTCGTGGCAGTGCTGATCCCACGATCGTCGCAGCAGTGCTGATCCCGCGATCGTCGCAGCAGTGCTGATCCCACGATCGTCGCAGCAGTGCTGATCCCGCGATCGTCGTGGCGGTGCTGATCCCGCGATCGTCGCAGCAGTGCTGATCCCGCGATCGTCGCAGCAGTGTTGATCCCACGATCGTCGCGGCAGTGCTGATCCAACGGTGTGGCTTCAATGTCGCATCGGATCACAACCATAATCCACGATCACGAGGCATCGCCTTAAGTAAGAGGCTACCGGATTATCTTACACATGGCCAATCACTGTATGTACGCAGTGGCGTATCCAGAGAGACATGATACAAGATTGCGGGGCACAGCTTTGCTGTTGATCCTGAGCGATAATTAGCCCCGGTTGGTACATAGGTCAAGGTGAGAAGTCAATGCACACTAAGTCATTGCCACTAAGTTGTTCAGGCCATTATTGTGTGTTCGGGACCTTAACGTCTCCCACGGGGTTTGCCAATAGCTACATTCGAGGCTTCCTTCTGATGACGTTGTTGACCCCCTTATCCATTTGCAAAAGGAGGTGCTTGTGGAGCAACAGTAGTAATAGGGCGTTCAGTCTGACGATACCCCTGAAGACCCACTGCTACTAAAAAGTTGTTGTTTTTGAAGTTTAATTTATCGATGATTTTTTTTCTAGGCCTGCAAACGGGGGGGGCGTACGCCGGCTACGCCCTATGCTGGATACGCCAATGTATATGTACGTAGTAGTATTCCTCGTGGAGACATCTAGCTCGTTCTCACTGTGTGTACGTTCCCGCCTGCATGCTTACCTATAGATAGATAACTATATACATGCCTGACGCAGCTCGCGGCGTACTCAGCATAACAATGTACGCTATTTTCGCCACGTTTGATCTCATTACTTTCGTCTGATGGAGTTATTAGCTGGAAGACTTCTCGCAACGCGGAAAGCGCGCGCGCGTGCGTGCGTGTGTGTGTGTGTGCGTGCGTGTGTGTGTGTGTGTGCGTGCGTGCGTGCGTGTGTGTGTGTGCGTGCGTGCGTGTGTATGTGTGTGCGTGCGTACGTGCGCGCGCGCGTGTGCGTGGGTGCGTGTGTGCGTGTGTGTGTGTGCGTGCGTACGTGCGCGCGCGCGTGTGCGTGGGTGCGTGTGTGCGTGTGTGTGTGTGCGTGCGTACGTGCGTGT